GAATCAAAGATATTTCCTCTCCCACCCCCCAATTATTTAACAACAACAAAAAGTTTAAGGCCTGGCTAGTTTTCCGAAATTAAGTAGACGAAAACTGCGTTGCTGGTGCTGGGACAAAGAAAACACTGAGAAAATCCCCAAGAGGACCCCCCCTCCCCCCATCGTGGATGTCTGCCAGCCGGACCCGAGCAGGGGGCGATACCAGGGCGATGCCAGCTGCTCCCGGCCCCGCTCGCCCCACTCCTTCGCATCGCCTCGGAGCCGGCCGCGGCCGCGCAGGGAAGCGCTCAGGCAAAAGCCCCGAAAGTTTCGGGGATCCCGCCGGGAGCGGTTTGGAGGAAGGAGGTGGGAGTCTGGTGAAATGCCCCTCCGTGTTGCAGGAGCTCCGGGGATGAATTCTGGATGGCAACGCGAGAAGCGCCGGGCCGTCTCGTTTGAATTTTTGCCCATTACATTTACAGGAGATATAACTCCCGATCGATAACTCCTTAGATCCGCGAACTCTGGTGCGTTCCTTAACCCACCGCTAATCCCGCAGCTTTGTCTTCCCCAGGAGGTAACCGAGTCCCCCCCGCCAAACCTAAATCCTAACCGTGGCCGGGACTGCGAGGTTCCCCCGAGCACACAGACTCCCCCGCTGCAGGTTCCCCTGCTCCAAACTCGTGCGCGCACCCGGGTGTGAAAACCCCCGTCCCCGGCTCCTCGCTGCATCCAGCCGGCTTTGGTGGGAAAAACACCCATCGGTGTCGGGAGGTCCCGGCTCCGCACAAGCACCGGGCTCCCGCTTTCCCATCAGTGCCAGAATTTGGAAATCTCCCTCTTTTCGCTGCTAACGAGCGCTCCCGAGGCACAAAGAGGTGGAGAGCTGGTGTGTGCGCGGTTCCTGCGCGGAGGGCGGCTGCGGCCGCGGAGGGGCCCGTATTATTTACTAGGTACTGCAAGGTCCTTAGGAAGAGCTTTATTTTTACCGGTAAGTTAAACGTTATCGTTGCAAGGGATACCACCTAACAGAGAGAAAGGAGACCCCGGCCAACGTTTGTGAAGCTTGGAATCAGCCTCGGAAAATGTACCATTAGATGGCTAATACTTTTTCTCTCATAATTACTGAGGCATATTCACAAGGTGGAGCTACTGAAAGGCGGAGGAAGCCCTGATCTGATTAT